TGTGAAGGCTGGGGACTGTCTTGGGCAGAGCAACCATGAAACTGTGGAATTCTCTATTCTTGGAGGTGTCAGAAGGGTGACTATCAAAATTACTATCTTGAACTTCAAGAGGGAGGACTTTGACTGTTCAGAATGCTTGTTGCAGGGGTCCCTTGGGAGGCGCTCCTTAAGGGTAAAGGGGCCCAGGAAGCCTGGATCCTCCTCAAGATGGAAATCTTAGAGGCACAAAAATAGACTGTTCCTGAATGCCGTAAGGTGAGCCATAGGGGAAGAAGACTGGTGTGGACGAGCTGGGAACTACTGTTGAGACTCTGAAAGAAAAAGACAGTCTATGTCCTCTGGAAGAAGAGACAGGCTACCTGAGGAGATTGCAAGGAAGTTGCTAAGGTATGCAGGAAGGAAGTTAGGAAGGCAAAAGTCCAACCTGAACTCAGATTGCCCACTGCAGTAAAAGAGAATAGCAAATCCTTTTACAAATATATCAATGATAGGAGGAGAAGCAAGGAGAAGTTCCATCCTTTACTTGATGCAGAGGGGAATGTACCCCTGAGGATAAGGAGAAGGCTGAGGTCCTCAACACCTTCTTTACATCTGCCTTTAATAGGCAGATCAGTTATCCTCAGGGCACTTTATGCCCTGATCTGGAAGCCTGGGATGCTACGCAGAATACATCCCCAGTGATTTAGATGGAGACACTTAGAGAGCTCCTCCTCCATCTGGACTGTCACAAGTCCATTGGAATGGACGGGCTCCACCCTAGGGTGCTGAAGGAGGTGGGGGAGGTGATTGCTCCACTCTCCGCCATCTACCAGTGCTCCTGGTTATCTGGAGAGGTTCCAAAGGATTGGAGGCTTGCCGATGTGACTCCCATCTACAAGAAGGGCCATAAGGAGGATCTGGGGAACTACATGCCTGTCAACCTGACCTCGGTACTGGGGAAAGTAATGGAGCAAATCATCTTGGGTGAGATCACATGGCATGTGTGTGGTGTCTAGAGGATCAGGCCCAGCCAGCATGGGTTCATGAAAAGCAGGTCATACTTGACCAACCTCATCTCCTTCTATGACTGTGTGACCAGAATGGTAGATGAGGGAAAGGCGAAAGGCTGTTGATGTAGTCTACCTAGACTTCAGCAAAGTCTTCGACGCAGTCTCTCACATTATTCTGCTGGGGAAACTGGCTACCAGTGTCCTGGGCAGGTATACCCTTCTTTGGGTAAGAAACTGGCTAGAAGGCCGTGCCCAACGGGTAGTAGTTAATGGAGTTAAATCCAGCTGGCAATCTATTACAACTGGTGTCCCCCAGAGGTCGGTACTGGGGTCCATCTTGTTCAATATTTTTATTGATAACCTAGATGAGGGGATTGAGTGTGCCCTCAGTATGTTTGCAGATGGCATCAAGTTGGGAGATAGTGTTGATCTGCCTGAGGGTAGGGACACCTTCAGAGGGATCTAGATAAAGTGGATCGCTGAGCTGAGGTGAACAGTATGAGGTTCAACAAGACCAAATGCTGGGTCCTGCACTTTGGCTACAATAGCCCCATGCAATACTATAGGCTTGGGGCTGAGTGGCTGGATGACTGTGAAGAGGAAAGGAACCTGAGGTGTTGGCTATTCTAACCAAACCCTTGTCATATTTAAAAAATAGATTCCAGTGGGAAATGGGCCCAAATATTTTAGAAAGATTCTCTGGTCTCACTGTGAAAAGAATTCTCCAATATATTCTCCCAGTAAGAATATTTCATCATTCACAACTCATCTTACCTTGTCGAGTTAGTAGAACCATTTTGTCCCACATATAAAAGAGAAATTATTTATTAGTGTCGAAGTTTGTATCTGTATTCGCTCAAAGGAAATACAAAAATGTTCTTTTCTTTAAGTGCAGAGAAGTGCACACAACACTGACGTTAAAATAGTGGCAATAATGCTGTATTTCCAAATTAGGCCCATTCTCCTGGAAACAATGGAAGAAAAGAATGCTTCTTTTCTCCTCTAACCCTGATAAGCTTGACTCATTTGAGTAAAAGGGAATTTCCTGAAGTAAGGCTTCCCTCATAAATCTTACAATGTTGAAGATCTTTCTATGAGGTCTTGGAGAAAAGTAGTCATAACTCAATGTCAATAATTGCCCTAAAATGGAAGAAGAATATATTTTCATCATAAAATTGCAAAATATAAACAAATCAGTACTATTTCTTTTTTTAAATAACTGATTTAATGCACAACAAAAATAGGCTCATATTTTTCATTTCTGCAGTGATTTTCACTAACATCCATCTATTTTATTTACAGTTGTATTGCAAACAAACAAACAAACAAAAAAACCTTAATGAGATTACATTTCTAATTTCCTTTCACCTTCTTTATTTGAAAAAAATCACCTGCATTCATTCTTTTTCATTGTTCTATTCTCAAATCTTTCCTGATGGAAAAACAGCTGGTTCTCGATTTATGCAGCCAATAGTTCGAGCAGATGAAAAGATTTTTTCTGCTGTTGTTGTTGTTATTGTTTTCTCCTTCAGCTTTATCCTCAACAATAAGTTTTCAATGTAATTAGGTTTCTCTATGCCTGGCATAATTGTCCTCCTCCATGTCATTTGCACATGAAGGGAATGAAATCCAGATCCTATAAACATCCCACTGATTACATCTCAAAACCTCCAAGATACTCAACAGTAATTTCTGGTAGTTATTATATCAGGATTTTTTTTTTTATCCTTGAGTTTTTTATCAAGTAATTGCACAAATATTACAACATATTTTAATTCTCACTCATCTCTAGCACTTTTATGTGTGTGTTTTCAAACTTATAAAAATTTGAGGGAAAAAATATTTTCATTTTCATATTCTACATCTGTCAAAAGTGTGTTTTGTTATAATAATACTCCACTTTCACTTAAAGCAAAGCAGTGTCTTCATCTTACTCTCTCTGTGGCCGCTCTCAGAAGCATATAGTGACAGGAAGAAGAGGAACAGACTGTACGCTGGAAACAGTGACACAATCAGAGACACAGGCAGGATACTATGTCATAAACAGAAGTTTGTTTAATCTTGAGAAATTGATTAAAAAACAAACAAACTAACTAAAACACCTAAAGTGAGGTGCAATGATCATCAAATGCTCTAGAAGTGAAGAGGCCTTAGTATGTAGTCATTATTTTAATCATGCTTAAATAAACTGCATAATCCTACCTTCAGCCTACTGTTTTCCTCTTGTACAGTGCTGATATTTGCACATTTCCTTTCAAGTCCATTTCTGATGACAGGATACCAGCAACATAGAAATAAAATAGTAATTATAAAAAATCTCTTCTAATTATTTTAGGAGATCCTAGAAAGTGAATTAGCCAAACTCAGACCTTCTCTATTGTTTTTGCTGTTATTGTTTGTTTTGTTTTTTTGTTATATAACAGTTGAATATTATTACGTGTAATTAAAGTATCCCAAGGTTTATCAGAAAAATAAGTGAATACTCATTGTGTAGAGTACTCATTGTTTCTGGTTTCTGAATATTACAGCCCTGTAATTGTGTTCATCCAGTAGAGTTTCATCCTGAGAAATGCTAATACTCACCCAAATTTCATTACGCTCAACTCTCAATCAAGGTGATGTTTGTAGCAGCCTGCAAGAAAAAAAGCTGCTCCTTACTTTATTGCCACAAAGCTTAAAAATCATATCAGTGTTACTTGTCAATTACTGTATTTCTTGAAGGGCTCATGCTGTACTCTTCCTGGAAATATCAGAAAAACAAGGCATGAAGTAAGCCTTTGATAACAAATGGCTTTGATGTCTGCAGAATTTCAGGACACCCTATGCACTGGAAACTCTTGAAAACCTCAAATCAGGCATTGGCTCCCTCACAGCTTTAAAAGAAACAAGTCAGACTGCTGAGCTCCTTCTGCCTCTAAGTTTAGGTGCTACAGGAAAGCAGCTATACTGAGTTGTAGCATCCTCGGAAGAAGCTTACTCTCATTCTCACACCAACAAGCTTTGTCATCTTCAGACAACATCTTCTAAACTCAAACACACCCTTGAAATCCAAGGTGGAGTATGGGCCATTCTCCAGCACGGTATCCACTACTGAAAAGTGCAAGGGGCATAGCAATCACTTGAACGGCTTGTTGCATTACTACTGCTCACACAGCTCACACACAATACTAACTGCTGCAAGTCATAGCTCATGGATGTTCTCAGGTAGCTTCTACTTCTGTAGTTCTGCAGCTGTATTCCTTAGCCTCCAGTAGCAGCTAGATAGAGAGGGAAAAAAAAAAAAAAAAGAAAAGAAAAAAAAAAAAGACAAATTGCTAGTGTGCACGTGTCTATATATAATCAGGTTCAAATAATTGCACTTATTTTTATGCAACAGGAAAACCTGTGCAACATGGAATCACTGTTGAGGCCCTTCTTTTTCAATCTTTTCTGCTCTGATGCTGTGCTTGGGCTGTTTCCACTGCCCCCAGAAGGCTTGAGTGCCCTTGTTTACAGCTGTAAAGCTTCACAGCCAGAGATTTCAATTTAGGAAAGAGTAAAGTATCTCCCCCTATTACCTCAGGAGAGCTGAGCGTCCTGCCAGTGCAGTACTACAATTTATCACCAGGCGCAGATGAGGTGGACTGGGAATTAGACCCACTTAACAATTGGTTTACGCACTGCTCTGTGTCATTGCTATATGAGGCCACAGGAGGTTTATGTCTTATTTAGAAGGGCAATTGTTTCTGTACCACTGCAAGATACTGAGTACAAATCAAAGCAGATGGCAGTCTCACAGTGAAGACTTGTCCTTTTTTCATTCTCTGTTATATGTTTAAACAACAAAGCAACAATTTGTTTATTGGAACCTCTCTTGTGCTTATGTGGGAAACATTTGGCTTAGGACATCAGTTTGTGCCTACTTACAGAGATTCATCAGATTTTCACTGGACATGAGAAGCAGAGAGTTTATTTAAAACAAACACAAACTCTTAAGAAAGAAAAAAGCATGAAATACTGTTTTCTTTATAGCTGATACAGACTGTGAGTGCAGTTGACAAAGATGAACCTCCTCGAGGACACAAATTTTTCTTTGAGTTGGTGCCAGAATTTGCTGTTCATCCAAACTTCTCCATTATAGACAACAAAGGTAACTGCTAATCAGCACCAGCTTCCCCATCACCCCCGCCCCAATAACATCCTGTATTCATCCTGTAACAAATATTTATTCTGCTTTTCCATTCTAGACAACACAGCAGGAATTATAACTAGAAGAAATGGATACAGCCGAAGTAAGACAAGTACCTATCACCTTCCAATCATAATATTTGACAATGACTACCCAGTTCAGAGCAGCACTGGCACCCTTACCATCCAAGTCTGTGCCTGTGACAGCCGAGGGAACATGCAGTCCTGCAACACAGAGGCCCTCCTCCTTCCTGCTGGCCTCAGCACAGGGGCACTGATTGCCATTCTCCTCTGCATCATCATCCTGCTGGGTATGTACCTGTGGGGTGACATATGATTGACAACAGAAGGACTGGTTGCTTCTAGACCCCTGATATTCTTCAACTCCTTATTCATATGACACTGCAGAGCAGTATTTCATATCTAATGCAATCTTTTATTCATTTGTAAGGAATCTTTTCTAAAATGGAAGAGGAGGTGGGAGGGGAAAAGGAGCAAATGTGTGCTGTTATTCTTCATTATAATTTGTAAGAATGAATAAAAATGAAACAATGAGACTATTGGTGTTATTTGGGGAAAAGAAATTTAAAAATCTAGGCTCAGTTTCAGATACTATGCACATCAGAGCAATATTTTACATTATAAACAGATTGTCATTTGAATCCAGGACTCTGAAAGTTGTCTTCCTGAAGATGAGTGATATGCTTCTCCATGATTAGAAAAATATCAATTATACCAGCTATTTAATCATGAATGATTTGTAATTTTTATAATCAGGAAATATTTAGCTCAAAAGCTCAAAAGAGAAATGTTCAATTGCTTGCAAATGATAGTGAGTACATCTCATTAAATAAAGTTTGAGCACAGAAGTTAGATGGGTAGCTGGACAGCAGCAGCATTTGAAAAAATAGGGAATATCTGAAGGAATTAGGATAAATGGTAGCTCATAACATGTCTTTAAGAGCACAGAAATTGTAACTTGTTAGTTTTGCTGGCCAAAAAAATGCCTCCTTAAGAGGTCCATTGTCTCTACTTTCCAGTCAATCTCTATGTTAGATCTCATCTGCTTCCCACCCATCTCAACCAACGCATATTACCAAGGGGGGGGGGGGGGGGGGGGGGGGGGGGGGGGTGAGAAGTTAACAGGTGTAAAGTTATATAATTTTGTCAGTATTTGGATTGCTAGCAATATCAAGTGGATTTGGGCTTCCTCCAGTAAATGTTCGGATGACCACAGAGGCTGTTAGGACATAGAACTATATATTTGGGAACTGTATCTGGGAAGGGAGAGTGCTTGAGTTCTGATAAGCCAGTTATTCCTAATGTTCAGGTTTGAGCATCACTGCTTTCCTGATTTCAGTCTGATCCAAATTTACTTCCTCAGGACATTGTCCAAGCGCAGCCTGAGCAGCAGAACTTGCAGGGCACACCTCCCAGCAAGTAATCTCGATTCGAGCTCTGTCAGATCTGGCTCTCCAGCTTGCACAGTTCTTAAAACCATGTCTATGGGCTCTGTACCTTCAAAGCCCTCTCTCATGTGATAACACAGAGCATGAAATATATACCACAAAACACATACTCTCTCACTGAATACACCGCTCTGGTGGGCTGCAGTGTGTTAGTACAGGAACACTGAACTAAAAATAAAAATCAAGATCATCATTGCTCATTAGATCACAGCAACACCACATGAGACAGAACAGCCTCAGGGACCTGCAAAAGAAGTGTGACCAGATTGAATCTTGTGAATCCAGGGTCAGAGACCCTGTTTTACTTAACACTACAGACCTAGCTGAACCTGATGTAGAATAAGGCTGGAATGCAGCTAAACAAAATTCTTAGCTTACAGCTGATGTAGTTCTTGTAACTTTATTTAAATATGTTCACCAAGAAGTGTGTTCAGACAGTAGTGTCATGACTGTGCCTATCATAGGAGAAGATTTAAGTACCCAGCTGTGATACACTTTTTCATAATAATTTTTTAGCATTCTGCCCTCACAGCTGCCCTCTTTTATATGAAGTTACTGAATTTATGAATAGACTACTCCTTGTCTAGTACTAGAAAAAAACTTGAAAAAGATTCTTCCTGTACACTCACAAAATCACAAACAGAACAGCCTTTACCTTTGCAGCACTGTACTATGACATGCAGAGGATCTTTGTTCCCCCCTCTGCCCTCAGTATGTCCATTCTTCTTATTCACCATCACTCAAGTCATTTACAGAAAAAAAACTTTGCTCCAAAGGCTTAATACACTGCTCTAATGCCTTTAAGTGTGGCTTGGCATCTGCTGTTATACCTCACTGACAGATGATTTTTTTGGCCTATTCCTATGTACTTCAGATACTGGAGCAAGGGTCAGATTTTTAAATGCATTTAAGTATTGAATTCCTACTGAAATCAATAGCATTTAACCAGCAGAATGTATTTACAAAGCTTGACTTTAGTTTCTCATCTACCTCTGTAGAGGCTCAGCTTAGTGCCAATTCTTACCTCTCTTATGAAGACTTCAACTAGTATTTCTTAAACTACCAGAATCATGCTTTAGATGAAATAGAAACAGAGATCAGCTTTCAATTCCTTCAGTCAACGAAGCAAAAAAAAAACAAAACAAAAAACAAACAAACAAAAAAAAAACCACACAGTTTTGTCAATAATATTGATAGTTGAAGGTTCTCAGGTTCTTATTTTTAGGAGAACTTGCAGATCCTGCTTTCAGTAGTGAATCATGCACTTAGGAATACCTAAATCACTAGCTTTCAAAAGAGACAATTGTTTTTGTTTAGGAGACTCAAATACTTTTGATAAAATTACCCTTAGTGACTGCCAGGAAGGCAGTACTTCACAAAAGTAAAGCTGAAGTCAAATGCTTTTGAGTTGATCTATTTTAAGACATTCTCCAGTTTTAAACTTCAGCTTAATAGTAACTTGTATATCTACATGGAATACATAATATTTTAACCATTGCTCCCATAGGTTTAAAAGAACATATATATTTGGCTGTTGCACAAGTGCTAATATTTTTACTTATTAATCTCAACTTCAGCTTTTGAACCTATCTCCCTACTAAAAATCCTTTGACATTTTGAGAACAACAGGTAATGAAAATATTTTCTCATATATTTCATTTCTAACTCTACATTTCTTCCTTTGTCTTTTTTTTCTTTTCAGTGTTAGTTGTCTTGTTTGCAGCCCTCAAGAGACAGAGGAAGAAAGAACCCTTGATCATCTCAAAGGATGATGTTCGAGACAACATTGTGACATACAATGATGAAGGGGGTGGAGAAGAAGACACCCAGGCTTTTGACATTGGCACATTGAGAAATCCAGAAGCAAGGGAGGAAAGTAAGATGAGAAGAGATGTCTTACCAGAAACTATATTTCAGATAAGACGGACTGCACCGCTTTGGGAAAACATTGATGTTCAAGATTTTATTCATCGAAGGCTAAAGGAAAACGATTCAGACCCAGCTGCCCCTCCTTATGATTCACTAGCAACGTATGCTTATGAAGGAAATGATTCCATAGCAAATTCACTCAGCAGCCTGGAATCACTCGCCACAGATGGCAACCAAGACTACGATTACCTCAGTGACTGGGGACCTCGGTTTAAAAAATTAGCAGATATGTATGGTGGAGAGGAAAGTGATAGAGACTGAGGAAGTAATCTGTGTTAGTGGAATTCATGTCTATGTTCCTAGATAAAGTGGCCTACCCTCTCTTACTTGTTTTTTTTGTTTTTGTTTTTGTTTTTTGTTGTTTTTTTTTTTTTACTAAAATTAGTTGCTGTCTTAGTAAGGGTTTGCTTAAGTCAACGTAAATTGTTATGAATGATTTAGATAAAAAAAACTATAATTCACCTTTTCTGCCTAGAAATTTCTGAAAAAAAAGGTTTTCGTTTACAATGAAAACACAACAAAAGGCTTTTTGTGCCTTTAATAATGAGGTGGAATTTTTTTGTTTTAATTACTTTGCTTTACCTTTCCTATTAGCTGGGACATTGTGAACCCACACTGTAAGATAGTATCTAAAGTATATTTAAATTATATTAATATTACTGCCATATTTATTGAGTTAAAGAATGTCTGTGTCCTGATTCATCATGATATTTTTATATATGTATATTTATATTTTTGTATTTTTATTAAATAAATTAGTATTTATAAAAACACTACTTATGCACATAATTTGTTAATCAAAAAAACCTGTTCAGTCTTTCTGAACAATATAAAAATGCGTATCGTGCAACACTTAATTTTCAGATGCATCTTCTTATAATGAATCAGTAGTTGAAATGTGCTGTGCAAGAACAATATGGAGAGTACTTTGTACTGGGAATGTAGCATAGAAAAAAGATAAATGATTTTGAAATTTTAATTATAAATAAATGCCATCTGCCTTGCAATGTGTATTACTATATGGCATAAGATTACTTTTTTTTTTTTTTTTTTTTTTTTGGTGTGTGTGTGTGTGTGAAACTCCTCTATACCCACACTTACCTTCGTTTGTGACCAGGTAACAAGAGACTGGATTTAATAGATACATGCCTGGGGATTTAGGAACCTTGAAGATTTATTTTGGTAGACATAAGAAAGGGGAATTAGACTGTATTCTAATATTATTTTGTGGTTTTAAGACAATTAGACTTCTTTTACTAATAGTGCCTTTCTAAATTAAAGCAAGACATGCAGTAGAAACAACATTCAACTTTGTTCATGTTGAATATTTTATTAAATATTTTAGTGTACTCTTCTTTCAAAGAACTATCTACATTTGCATGTATTTTAAAGTGTTAACAACTATTATCTAGTTGACATTTACATTTCTAATATGATTGCCTCACCTTTCATGCAATGCACATTTTTCTTTCCAATACAGGATAGGAGGAATTTACCTGAATCAGCTGTGATCTGACTGAGAGTTAAAAAGTTTTTGTTTGAAAATTGAAGCATTAAAAAAAACAAAGAAATTAACAATACAGGATGCGTACCATATATATTACTACAATTTTTAGTGAAAACTAAGTGCATCTGTTTGTCCAAAATAACATGTTTTTAACGTTTTCTCTAGATTATTATATTTCATAATCTAGATTTATATAAATTAGGTATTTTTAGATTTTATTTATTTATTTATTTATTTATTTTTCAGAAAAAAAACTGACTGGTGTATATTCCTGTGGAAAATGAACTGGAGCTAAGGCTTGGAAAATTCTGTGTTAATGTGGACTCTTCCCTACTCCCAGAGGGGTTTTGTTTCTTAAATTAGATTTTTTATTTAATTATTTATTTGATTTATTTATTCAAAAAAAAAAAAAAAAATGGCACCTTCAAATTAATTCTGACAGAAAGCCCCCCAAAACATTTTAAGAATATAATTCTTGTTCATTATCATAATTTTTAATAATGAAAAATAGTTGTATTTTTTCAGAAACAAGTACCTTCTGTATTTAAAAGGATATTTACCATTTCCCAGATGCTCAAATTTTGATAAAAGAAAGGATCCCACTTAAAATTAACTGAAAACTAAGACAGTGGATCTAAAAACATTTCAATGTTTCTGTTTGTATATACTTTATTGAGTCCACATTAACTAATTTTACCTCTCATATACAAAAGATGATATAACGTGCTCTACAGAGGCACTCTTCTCTTACTAAAGAGCTAGTAGAGAGCTTACACACAAGGTCACTTCAGACAGGCATAGGAACACAGTCCTGCCTAATATTTTCTTTCGACTATGTTTCTCAAAAAATATCTTTTTACTGTTATTCAGTTTATCCCTGTAACACTTTCCCCTGCTAGTTCCAATAATACATCTCTGAACTTTGTTCTCAGAGGGAGGTCAAGGGGCCAGGGAGCTGCAGGCTAGCACCTAAACAGCTCACTTTGAGCTGCATGCCAAGTTTGCAACAATATATTGAATAATAATAATAAAAAAAAAATAGTGACAAAAAGTCAAAATAGCCTGCAGATGCTGTAGTAGCAAGACATCTACTTAAAGCTTGGTGGTATAAGAATGCATATTTCTTTTTTGTGACTTTTGGAGGTGAAAACCAGATTTTCAGAATGCATGTTCTAAACAGTGTTGTCAGTAAGCAGAGGAACTGCTGGGAGAAAATATTCAAACCAAACCAAACCATACCAGGACTGTAGGAAAAACTTCCTTGACACAAAGAAGTTGTTAACACAAACGTCAGTGACAAACACGATATACTGGACTAAGAGACAAGCTTTTAACAATTTTGTAAGTTGTCATCAGAAATCTGAATATTAGACAATGATGTAGTGTTAGGAGAGATGACAACGAGAATATGTCTTTCCTCAGGCAAGGCCACATACGGACAAGGTAAATGTCAGTGGAGTTGAATAAAGCTTTTAGATTCTAAGAGCTGGAATAGAGTGCATCAAACGTTGTCAGTGTGATTTGAGAGAGGCTACCAGTGAAAGCAGAGTGAAGGAAACGGAGTGCAGGGCATTAATCTTCATTACATGTATGCATTTAATTTAAGTTATATTTTCCATATAGAAATTATCTAATTTGTATGTTGTTACTATTCGTCTCCCCCCCCCTTCCCTGCCCAAAAGAAGGGAGAGGAAGAAGCATTGCAAAAGTCTCCTCACGAAAGTCTCTGATGCAGGCATGTACTTGATGTCAGTATATCATGTCACCTCTGCAGTACTTTGGGAAGAGCACAAACTCCAGGAAATCTTAAAAGAAAAAAAAAAAGGCACAAGCCTCTCCTTCTCCCAGTCTTAGATTTCTGATTCCATGAGTCATTGTCACTAAAGCAAAAAGGGGGAGTTTTAGAGTTTGTTTTCAGCATGGGAGTGAGACTGTACTTTCCCATGCTTTCCTGTTACTTTAGTAGTGAACACAAGAGTCCTGTACTACTTAAAGTATTATATGTTGAGAGGATGACCTACATAGATCTACAGCTCACAGAACTTCACAAAGCTGATGTAGCAAAACAAGACATATCTTGAAATTACTAAAAATGTCAAGCATTCTTAAAATGACTGAGAATAATTGGTCAGTATACTACTCGATATGCTTAATTGTAGCTATGTGTGTTTATGCATTCAAATGGGCTGCAAAAGATTTTTTTTTTAATTATATATGTCCTTTTTTATTCTTTCTCTTACTCTTTTATATAAAGCAACACAGTAAATACTCATTATGTTATCAAATAAACATTTGAGTTCACAGTAGAAATTACTGTAATATTTGCATTTTGCTCTATATTATTAACTGTTTCCATCTACTGAGATTGTTTCTTGCCTTTTTGATTATATGTAATACAGTAGAACTAAAATGACATACATATGCAATGCAAAGAACATCTTCTGGTGTCATAAGCCAGACTGTTTCCCAGTGTACTTCCATGGAGGAGTTCATGGCTATCACAGCCCTTAACATGGTAGAAGATGCTGACAAGCATAGATTTTTTTTTTTTTCTTTGAATTGTTCTAGTTGGTACCTGTGAAACTATTGGCTTCTTTTGGCATTCTAAGGTGATACACTGATAGGTGCAATGGACAAAAGGTCCAAAGAAGATTGATCTTCTGAATAGGCATATAATACGTGTCCCAACCTTGGCAGAATTTCTGACTGATTCTTTGGGATATACAATATTGACTAGGTAGCAGGAACAGAAGAGAGGGACAAAAAGTATGAACTCCTTCTTGCAATATTTCTACTGAAAATTCTGCATTTGCAAAGGAAGTGAGAGACAGGAGTTCTGGTCAGTTCGCCACCTTTATCATATATGAAACCTACCATATCTAGTGAGGCTACAGATCCTTGGTGTTTCCTCAAATCTCATACATGTGTCACCAAGAAGTTAAAGGTGGAGAGACTTTAGAAGACTATCAAGAAGGAGGAGAAATATCATTTTTATGATGATAATGTAAGCAAGGATCAATTTTTCTGCCACTCAGGAAAAGGAATGAAAGCAGATGGGAGGAGATGAGGTGAAGTTAAAAAAAAAAAAAAAAAAAAAAAAAAAAAAAAAAAAAAAAAAAAAGTATGATGAAGGTCTAGTTTTGTAATGCATATATATTTTCTTTGTACTTTTATTTTAATTTTATAAATTGATAAACTACTTAATAAGCTGTTTCATCAGTAAAAAAAATAACTTCTGGAGATTATTTTCCATGGAAGGTTATAACTTTCAGCAAAATATTGACACAGTTTCTCCTTTTAAATTGGGTTAAACAACCAAATTATACTCCCACCAGATGTAAACATGCCTAAAATTTTTATGTTGCCATGATATAGCTGTTTTCAGAATAGAACCATGACAAATAGAGAACATACATAGAACCCTCCTTCAGTATTTTTCTTATGCATTGGTAATGAAAGATATAAAGATGCTCTTTTCTAATGAAGACACTTCAACAGTTAATGGTCTATTTCACACTGAAACTTGTATTTTAAACTCACATTTACACTTCAGTTGTGCTAAGTAGAAAGACAGAAAAGATGAGTCACTGGGTCATTGCATACTGGAGAATTATTACATTCTTAATGCTTTAGAATATAATTTATTTATGAATTTGAGTTCCAAAAAGAAAGATTAAAAAAAATAATACAGTGGAATGGGAAGCATTTTTGCCTCTCCCACTGGAAGAGATGTATGGGGAAGAAATGCATTGTA